AATGTATTGAAGATGTATTTAGGATGACAGAAGTTTTAACTTGATCTTCCTTTTCTGTCTCTTTTCCTTTGAACTATATTTGGTATCTTAAGATAAGGTTGGAGCATAATTGCCCTTGGATTGTCTGTAGAGGTACAGCCAATAGATAAATAGGCTGGAAGGAATGGACCTGTTATTTTTCTTGTATTTAGACTGCACCAGGCATTTTCATTTAGAATATTGTTGTGGATCTTATGAATATTTTCTGTTTCATGATTTTAGTATCTTCTTCCCTTTCTCCTCTTCATTAAGCCGTACTGATTCAAGACCCTTTCTCACTCAGCTCTAGCTGCTGTCTTGGAAAAGAAGTGAAGGGGACTTGGCTAATTGGATTAGACATGGTCTCTGAAGCCTTCTCCTCTTACTCATGAGATTTGATTCTGCTGTTTTGATGGGAAATGACCTTCTGCTAACCTTGAAGTGCCATCTTAAGCACTAGTATTAAACTGTCTCCTTTTTAGTCATTGCTTCATTCCTGTATCTGTGGCTATTTCAGACCAGGTTCCCTTGAACATGGAGTAGATGTGCAGTCCCAGCGTACTGATGAGCCCTGATCTCCACATCCTCTCTTCTCCCCTGCCTGGCATAAGTGAAGCTTTTGAATGTCTTGGGGTCAAAATGGTGTTGTATGGTGGGGTTTTCTTGCCATTTTATTGGCTATTTCTAGGCCCCCTGGTAAGGCTCTGAATCATTCAGAGGTGGCTTAGAGAGAGACCTGGTTTGGGTTCTTTTTTCTTCTCTTCTTTGGGATGAAGGCAGGATAATAGAAAGAGGTATCTCTAAATCAAGTATCAGACCTGGAGTAGTAGTGGAAAAATAAAACCAGTGCTATCTGAGGCTATTCCCTACCATATTTATTTTAGCGTATTTACTTCATGCATCTTGTATTACATAAACAATAGCATTTGTATTTAGTAAATGATTTATTATAAGTAGTTTCTTTTTTTTTTTTTTTTTTTTTTTTTTTTTTTTTGAGATGGAATCTCCCTCTGTCGTCCAGGCTGGAGTGCAGTGGCGCAATCTTGGTTCACTGCAACTTCTGCCTCTGGGTTCAAGGGATTCTCCTGCCTCAGCCTTCCTGAGTAGCTGGGACTACAGGTGTGCACCACCATGCCCAGCTAATTTTTTTTTGTATTTTTAGTAGAGACGAGGCTTCACCATGTTGGCCAGGCTGGTCTCCAACTCTTGACCTCAGGTTATCTGCCCGCCTCAGCCTCCCAAAGTGCTGGGATTACAGGCGTGAGCCACTGTGCCCAGCCTATTATAAGTAATTTCTAATGAATAGTAAGAGGAACATGTGTGTGTTTTGACCTTGAAGCTTTAGATTTCTGTCAGCCTAATAGTAAGTGGTACCAGCAAATTCCAGAAACTGATGCTGGAAAAGCTCCTATGATGTATTAGATTTCAGACACATAAATTCCATCCTTTCCATTTAAAGAGAGCTCTATAGGGATACAAATCTCCTTTTAACCTTCCCACTCCTATGATAAGAATAGAAAGATGCAGTGTAGAATAGCGAGATGAAGAGAGTTAATGGAGAGGTGTTGCGACGTCTGTCCCTTTTAACGATCCTACACCTAATCTCTTTGTCTTCCATGTTGTAGCCAGTTTCCAAATATACCAAGCATGATTAGGGGAGTTAATAAAGCTAGATAATGAAATGGTGGTGTGTATGGAGTTTCACCTTAGAGAAGGATGACAGAACCAAAGGAAGGGAAAGTGGGGATGGAAGGGAGAGGAGAGATCTTTGGATGAAGAGATCTCCACCTTCTTCATTGCTCTCAAGAACCTGTGGCAGCTGGTTCCATCCAGGTGTTGGGCAAGGCAGAGTCTACCAAATCCCTGAATATGGCCATTTACAACTTGAGAAAGGCATTGTGGGTGATAATAAAGTATGTCTTAGAAGTTGAATTAGAGCTTAAAAAATGTCGAGATTGTATTGTGTGAGGACAGTGGCAGTAGTGGTGGTGATGTTTTTGGTTTGGGCTTTATCATGTTTTCCTTCCAGATTGGCATGCTCATCATTTTTAACGAGACACCGTCGCTCAGAAGTTCTGCGAACAAGAAAGATGTGTTGCACTTGGTCTTCTACACGCTTCTACAGGCTGCCTGGGGCTAGGAAATAAGACCATGTGAGCCCAGAGGCCTAGGATAAAGCTTCTGTTTGCCAACAGGGGGAAGGGTGGGCAGAACGTAGGCAAGAGGAGAATCCAGGAAAGAGAGCAAATGTTTAAATTGTGTGCGGTGCAAGTGTGTGGTTTGTGTCTTTTATCTTCAGAGTATGGAGAAGAATAAGGAAAGCTGGCACTCTGCAGCTCCCAGGGACTAGAAGCCACTTTCTAAACTCTGTCCCTCTTTGTAGGCCTGGAGGGAGTTTATTTCTGCTAGTTTATAGAAGTCCTGTTTCTGACATTCCTGGGCCTGACTTTTTCCAGGGCCTCCTGTTGGCCAGTTCTGTGCCTTGTGTGTACAGTGCTTGACAGTGTATTTGTCTCGTCAGCAGTTGATACTTACTCAGAGGTGGCAGTCCTTTTCGTCAGTGAGTTGTGCTTATTAGCTCCCACAAATTTATTTGACTCATAGACTCATCCTTATCATCAGGTGCTTATTTTTACCTTTTCATACTTTTATGTGTCTCCCCAACATTTCCATTTAGAGTTTGAAAAACTGTCTTATAGATTCATATAAGTTTAGAAATTTATATTTTGCCACATGATAAAATTCATTTTGCACCCAACACATGTACATGAGACACTTAATCAGCATGCAAGAGAACAAGGAGGATATCCTTGTCATAATGTCATGTGAGGTCCTGTCCCATCAGATAAATTAATGTTCATTCAGAAGAATCTAACTCTTGCTTTGTAAGACACGCCCAGAAGATGGCTGAGGTACGCAGGTTTGCTGGTGTGTAATATGTTCAGTCTAGGGAGGATTGTGTGGCTGAAGATTTTAGTTTGCAAGACTTTGCCCCTCTCCCTCAAGACACTTAGATGAGACCCTAAGACAAGTCATTCTCCTCAGCAAAAGTTGCAGAAGTATACATGTCTTGAGGTGAAGAAGGGAGACCTTGGGTCACTTAATTCCCTGCAGAGAAGCCGATCAGGTCATTGCAGCCACCTCCCTCTAGTGACCCTCTTATATAAGCCGGAACAGGAATTCTTGCTACTGGATCCCTTTCATCAGGCATCTTAGGCTCGCTGAATGAAAAGCCCTATAAAAAGGAGATGTGGCCCTAATAATAACAAATACGATCGTGATGGCTATTTTGGACAAGAACAGCTTTGTGCCACTCTTGATCTCCATCGATGGCTGCCATTCTTGCCCTGCTATTACCTTACACACTTCCTATTCTTAGAATCAGTTGTGAGCCTTGGGCTTGGGGGATTGCAGCCCCCATGGCTGGAATGCCCAGCTTGAGTGGAATGCAGACTGTCTGGCAGAGTGGAGGTTAAATAAAGTTTGCCTTGGCAGCCCCCTCTGCTCTTGGATGAGTGACAAGTGACTCGAGTATAGGAGCGAGGAGCGATGGCATGAGCTGCCATGTGGTGCAGGATCAAACGAGTCTTCCACGCATGAATAGAAGTGGTTGATTGTCCATCCATGACCAACACAGCTATGTCAGTCTTAACTGAGGTGGGTGAAGGGGAGGCCTCAACAGCCTTGAACCTCAGCTTCTGACCATATCACTTTGAAAAAAATGCAGGAACAGATAAAGAATAGTGTTGAACCACTTTCTAAGTTTCCAGCTGAACTCCAGATTTGGTATACCTCCCCCTCAGAGTAATTGACTCATTTTTGAAAGTAAGACAAAGGGAAAATTTTTCATTGAAATAAGAACAGTTAGTCAGTCAACCGTTTCTTGAGCACCAAGCCCTGTGGGAAATATTTTTTTAAGTACAAGACACAGAACTCTTACAGCTTATAATTTAGTTGAAGAAGTAAAGCTATAAACACCTTTAAAAAGCAATTGTTCCAGAACTACCTGCCAAAGGAGGTCTATGGAGAAGGAGAGCACTTCCAGCTGTGGTGGTCAAAGATTTCATGGAGGAGGTGGGGTTGAAAAAGGTCTTGCCAGAAGCAGACTTGAGACTTGTTCTTCAGGCAAGGCGAGAAGAGGCCCTTGTTAGTGAGAGAACTGTTACGAACAAAGGGCAGATGTAGGAAATCCCTAAGACAGTCATGAGGACTTGAAGTCCAGGGGATATGGCTAGGGAGGATAGAGAGAAGAATTTGTATAAAGATCGCCAGACCCTGAGTTCTAAAGGCTGTGTGTACATGTTACCAAGAAGGTTATGATGCTTCCCATCAGAGGAGAGCTGAGAAGGTGTAGGTGCAGCCTTGCCCAGTGACCAAGGCCCTTTTAGTGTTCTCTTCTGTAAAACCGCTTGTACAGTAGGTGGCACATAGTGAACACTCAGTAAATAACACGATTCTTATTGTTACTCATTCTTCAAATTCTGTTATCCCAGGTTGTTGAATTGGCTTGGTTTCCATTACAAGAATCAGTGCTGACTTTGTCCTGTTCTGATAGCTTATGTAACTGATGGTATCTTTGTCTGTTTGGGCTGCTATAACAAAATACCGTAAACTGAATGGCTTATAAACAACAGAAATTTGTTTCTCACAGTTCTAAAGGCCGGGAGGTTCAAGATCAAAGTACCAGCAGAATTGGTGTCTGCTGAGGGCCCTTTTCCTGGTTCATAGACAGCTGTCTTCTCCCTGTGTCCTCATATGGCAAAAGGGGTGAGAAGTCTCTCTCAGGTTTCTTATTATAAGGGCATTTACCTTTGCCCCCATGACCTGATCACCTCCCCAAAGGCCCCACCTCCTCCTACCATCACCTTGAGGGTTAGGATTTTGACATACAAATCTGCAGGGGAACATAAACAGTCAGTCCGCTGCCTTACTATTTCCTTTCCTTTAGCTTTATCTAAGCTTTCGTCTCTCTTCTACCACAGGTGGCTAGAGGTGCAGGTAGCTAATTTAACAAGTCCACAGCGCTGGGTGCAGTACCTCAGGCTTCTTCAGGAGTCCATCTGGCCTGGTGGAGTTTTGCCTAAGTTTCCACGGCCTGTAAGGACCCAGGAGCAGAAACTGGCTGCTGAGAAACAGGCTTTGCAGAGCCTGATGGGAGTCCTCCCAGGTAAGTGGACCAATGAGATCAATTATACCAGTCACAGTTCCCTTCCATTCTGCTTTGCCACCATTACCCCTTCACCTTTTCCTGTTTGTAAAAGGGCCCTGCATGTGGCTACATTCAAAACTCTGTTGACCCATCATTTCTCAGGCTAATAGGAAAATGAACAGGGCTGCATTTCTTTTATCCCTTGCTCAGCTGATGCCAAGGGAATGGAAAAGAACTCTATGGCTGCACCCTAAATACTAGGTGACAATCCTGCAGATATTTAGATTAATAACTTTCTACCTGCAGGCAGGTCTGGGGAAGTCTGCCTGCAGGGACAGGTCTCAGAGCCATTTCCAGGAGATGAAGACTTCAGATTCTCTGACAATTCATAGCATTCTGGGACCAAGGAAGAAAATCACACATCCCACAGAAGCTCCAACTTAATAAATTGCAGCCATTGAGTATGGTACATGGCCTTTAGCAATAAGTAAAAACAAAATCTGAGAGGGTTGTTTTTCCTTGCGTTGTATTTTTAGAGGGCCAGGAAGGCAGTTTGTTGCCTGTGACTGTGATAACTAGGAAACAGTTGTGAACTTAGCTCTGGACAATCAATTTTATTTACCCTTATCATTATAACTGTGTTTACCAACCTAAACTGTTACATTGGAAGGAGTACCTGCATTTGAGTGACAAGGTTACAAAATAATTTTTGAAGCCCATTCTTATGTAGACACCTAACTTAAGAAACAAATTTTTCTCAGGTTTTCCCTGTTTTGTGAGGATTTTAGTTTGGCTGTGTGGTTTAGAGGTATGCCCGAAATACCGAACCTATGTAAAAACGGCAGAGATCCTGGGGAGAGACTGTCCTTAGAATCTAAAACTTCAGTGGTAATACACACATTCCATCTGTTTTTTCCTCCTCAGATCTCGTAGTAGAAATTCTTGGGGTGAACAAATGCCAGGTGAGCTGGGGTCTAGTCCTGGAGTCACTACAACAACCGCTTATCAACAGGTAAGTGGAAAAATGTTATTCCAACATCAGCATAGTTAAAGCCGTCTCTGATCTTAGAGGTATCCAAGGTTTCTGAGTGAAAAGCCCACATTCCGAAGAATAGGACTGTAGTCTTTACTTGGTCTGGGCACTGACTACAGAGTTTGATGTCCAGATCCACACACTAAGTAAAACCCACACCATCAGGCTTCCGAGCAGATCTTCATGTGCTAGGAAGTCACTCTTGGACAAACCACCATTTGTGTTTGGAAGAACCCTATGCAGGCCCCCACATGAGCTGCTGAAAATGACCTCTTATCCTCCAGGCTTGTTCAGCATACTTGCTCAGTGCTCTTTCCAACATCTGCCAGCCGCTGTGAATGCTCCAAGAGCGTACCCTGGCCTGTGTGTCATAGACCACGTAAAGATGTTCACCATAAGCCCCTGGCGTCATAGCAAAGCTGTGATTCATGTCAGGACCAGGAGTTGTCTTTGCTTCATATCAGGTAGACAAGATAGTAAGGTTGGAATTTCATAAAGGGACCAGAAATGCTGGGTGAGGAGTCCTAGAATAATCCAGAAGAGGTAGATTCCATCCCGTGGGCTGTTACTCTTCTGGAAGTATTGAGTAATCTTACATTCAAACCCTACCCCAAAGCAGACTGTGTTTGTTAACTTCCTCAAGGATCCTGGCTTTGCCTCACTGCCTGTAAGGCAGCCTATAAATTTAAGGTAATTAATTATGAGAAACAGCAATAGTCAGGAGCTCTGAAAGTGTCTAGGAACCTGACATCTCAAGGATTTGTTATCACAGTTCCTCAGCGCAGTGCTAATGTAACTACGTAAAGAGAAATGGAATTTTATAAAACTTAGTCTTATGTAAAACTAGTCTTATATAAAACTGTTTTTGCCTTTATTAGGGCCAGAGGCTTTATTAGTTCAAAAAACATTAATTTCTTAGCAGAAGTTTCATCAAGCTATTGAAGTTTAGCATATCGGTGATGGGGGAGGAGAAAATAAATGTCATAAACAGGATCTTGTGTTTCCTCACTGAGCCAAACCATAAGTTTTTTGCCCATTTGTTTCAGGCATTTGATTTACTGTCTTGGGGACATCATCCTGGAATTCTTGGATCTCAGTGCCTCTGTTGAGAAGTCTGCTGCTACCACCTCTGCCTCAGATACCCCAGGCAACTCCAAGAGGATGGGTGTCTCCTCTTAGCTGGTTATTCACGCATTCTTCCCAGTTCAGGGAAGTAGAGTTACTCAGCACCAAAGACCAGTCAGGAAGCCTGTGCCCTCTACAGCTAAGAAGGCCTAAGTTCTCAGTGGCTCACTTCTCTCCCACTTCTCCATTTGTAGCAGGTGGAAGGGGTATATGTGTCCCAGTTGCATGCACATTTATTTCCATGTTTCTTTTGGAACATTGGGATTGTTCCAAATGTGAGTAGATCCTGTTTCCTTTAGGAAAAGAAGCTGTGAGGTAGAGGAATGAGCCCCTTTTGCTTCTCTTTTTGCCATCCTCCCTGAGATTGTTTGCCAGAATCCTGGCCCTGTGCACACATGTGCTTAATCCACCAGCACACAAGCTCTGGATAGAACAGGAAAAAAACCGTGGCCAGATTTCCTTGGAGGAGAAAACAACCTTCTGAGCTCTCTGTTCCTAACCGGAAACTAAAAATTCATTCAGGGCCATTCTCACAAACCAGACTCCTGGGTCTAATCTAGTTTCCCAACAGTTCCAGAAGAAGGAGGAGGGAAGAAAATTTTTCAAGGAACTTCTTGCTCATGTGTTGCTGTTTCCCAACACATCAGCCTTATGGAAGATGTCATGAGGCTGCTTCCCTGGGAGGCTACACTTCTCCTTTCCAGAAGACTTCAAAGCTGACTGCCAAAGCTTCTGGTAAATCCACCCCACCCTTCACACCCTTTCCTGAAAGGCATTTGTACCACACATTTCATTTATTGGCTTTTCTCCCAACCCCCTGCCCTAGAGCAATGGAGTTTTTGAATTGGTGACCCTCTCTATATCTTCAGCAAAATTGCATGACAAGCTGCATATTCAGCCTCAGTTTTTCCAAGGAGAAGGTAAAGCACTTGCCTCCTGTCTTAAGAATGCAGAAAGAATAGGACTAGCAAGCCTGGGGGATGAAACCTCCCTTTATAAGTCTTTGACAGAGAACTTTTATTATTCTGAACAGATAAGATTAGCAAACTTACAAGGAATAGCTTCTTATTTCCCGTTCCTTATGGTTATAATTAGTCTTTTAACAACACCAGCATGAAGGCAAAGGTGTTTTGTCAGACTGCAACATCTATTAGCAAGGCAAAGCAATTGGGAATTGCTGGAGAAGGATAAACGGTGATGGAAAAGGATGCAGACAGTCACAGGGAAGTGCTGTATATTAAACACATGTGAATAGCTGGCAAAAAGGTGTCAAGGATGTCACTGGGAGCCCTTTGGCTTCACACTTGCCTGTTAGCGCCTTGCTTTCACTGAATTACCAGAGCCTGCCACTTGAAGGAAGGTCTTGGAGTTAGACTGATGAGAAGGCAATGGGGTGTCAAAAACAAGTATCAAAGTTCTCTTAGATTCTGAAGTAGGTGATGAGCACACAAAGTGGTTTGTGAGAGAAACTTGTAAAATCTTTTTACTTTTTTGCTCCTCTGGAGGCTTTTAACCCTAAATTGTGTCTGATTTATTTGGGAGGCTTAGGTGTGCAATTCTTGCCCAAAGGCAAGGAGATGAATGAGATGTCTCATGGCTCCTTCTAGCCTTAAAAGTTGACCATTACAGTGACTTTATGGCTCCAAAGTTCTTGAAGCATCTCCAGCCCTAGACTTTGACAGGACAAGGTTGCTCAGCATCTCTACCTTCCATGAGTACCTACAGGAGTCCAGCCAATGTATTAGAGCTGATCATTCAGCTCCTTCAGTGAGGGCTAAGATCCTATTCTCGATGGGCATAGGGGGCAGCCCTGTTTTATGCCACTTTTCTCTCCCCATACCTTCCTTTCATGTGTACTTAGCCACCTGTGTTGCTTTGAATCTGCTGCCAGTTCTGCTCAAATGTGGCACAAAATCAGTACATCAGACACACCATGAAATCCCTGTGGCTGTAAATTCTAAGGAATCTTTTGACACTTCCAGCCCAAAGAACTTATTTTTATTTCATATTATATAAGAGTCCCCACCTCTACTCCATGTACCCCAAAAAGATAAGCTGTCCTCAGATCCTCCTTCTACCCAGGAGGGAAATAATGGATATTGCCAAGGGAACAATCAAAACTTTGAAAATGACCTGCCAATTTTGGGTAGCAGGTTCAGACAACAAGAGAGTAACAACTGGTAGAGAGCCACAGGTTCTGGAAAAGATGCTCCCAGCTGGCAGGGTGAGAAAAGGCAGGGAAGAATTGGGCCTGTGCTAATCCAGGAAGGTTGTTTTGTTTGCTTGTTTCTTGTATTTACTCGTGACTAAATTTTATTCATTTAAGTCAGAATTTTGATATTTGAAATAAGACTACTTTCCCTTTTCTTAATATCTATAAAAAAGACGAGGCAGGGATGCTGTGTTCTTTCTGTCCAATTCTAAATGTGATCCTTGCCATTGATTATTTGAATTCAAGAAAGCTGTACTTTTTCATCACATATAACTCACAGTTTCATTTTCACATTTTTGGATTAGACTTAATAAAACCTAAATGGAAAGTAAATTCCTAAACCTGAGCCTAGGAGCATGTATAAGTTTTAAAAACAATACAGGCTACTCCTATTTCCATTTTGGAAATTTCCAGTTTACAAGGTGATTTTCTTATTGTTGTAAAGAAACACATAATGTGAGATCTGCCCTCTTAAGTGTACAGAACATTATTTGTTTATTTTGAGATAGTACATTATTAACTAGAAGCAGCACACTATTTTGTAGCAGACTGCTACAGGTTTTTCATCTTGCATAACTAAAAGTTTATACCCATTGAACAGCATCTCCTCATTTCCCCTCCCACCAACTTCTGGCAGTCACTATTCTACTTTCTGCTTCTGTGAGTTTGACGACGCCTCATATAAGTGGAATCATGCAGTGTTTGTCGTCCTTTGACTGACTTATTTCACTTAGCATAATGTCTTCCAGGTTCATCTGTGTTATAACATGTGACAGAATTTTGTTTTTAAGGCTGAAAACCTTCCATTGTATGGCTATGCCACATTTTCTTTGTTCATTCATTGAGGGACATTTGGGTTGGCTCCACGCCTTGGTTATTAAGAATAATGCTGCAGTGAACATGGGAGTATGAATATTTCTTTGAGGCCCTGCTTTTAATTATTTTAGATAAATACCCAGAAGTAGGATTGCTGGATCATATATCATTCTGTTTTTAATTTTTTGAAGACCTTCATACTGTTTTCCATACTGACTAGACCATTTTACATTCCCACCAACAATGTACAAGGGTTCCAATTTCTTCACATCCCATCCAACACTTGTAATGTTTTGTTTTTTTCATAATGGCATCTTAAAAGGTATTAGGTGATATTAGTATCTCGTGGTTTTGATTTACATAGCCTGGAACATTTTTTAGTCTTCCTGTGTCCTACCCAGGTTATTCATTTCCAGCTACTGCTCTTCCTTTGCTCTTAGCACCCAACACCAATTGTTAGGTCCTGGATGAAGTAAAAATATGTGTAACTATGGTGCCTGGCTATATGAATCAGGATGCTCTGGACAGGAATGAAATTATGAGGAAAATTTATTTTCTTTCATAACATTAGTATGTGAGTAGGTAAGCCCAGGAGTTTGGTGATTCAGCAACTCTGAGACCTCTTAAGGGGCCTGAATTCTTTCAATCTTTCTTCCTTGCCATTAATTAGGTCAGCTCTGTTCTCAGACTGCCTGCCTTCCTGGTGCTGTAGTTTCAGGCATCACTCCCAGAGATAACATTCATAAAAGAACAGGAGCATCTCTTCTGTGTTTTCTTCTAAGGAATGAAGGAACCACTTCCCAGAAGTCCTTCAAGAATCCTCTTCTAGGCCGGGCACAGTGGCTCACACCTACAATCTCAACACTTTGGGAGGCCAAGGTAGGGGGATTGTTTGAGGGCAGGAGTTGAAGACCAGCCTGGAACACATCAAGACCCTGTCTCTACAAAAAATATAAAAAATGAGTGGGGCATGGTGGCTCTCACCTGTGGTTCCATCTGCTAGGGAGGCTGAGGCAGGAGGATCACTTGAGCCCAGGAATTTGAGGCTGCAGTTAGCTATGATCACACCATTGCATTCTTGCCTAAGTGACAGAGTGAGACCCCAAATCAAAGAAAAAAAAAAAAAACTCTTAAATGACTCATTGGCTAGAACTACCCACCTCATGCCAATCCACTGACACTGAGAATGGCATTGTGATTGGCTTTCAATAGTATTTGCCCCCAGAGATGAGGTCATCTTCCGTGAAGGTCAGATATCTACAGAAATAATTGATGGTAGCAAGAAAGAAGCAGAGAATGGGTGTTAATAGACAGTGTCTGCTCTAGGGATGGGTCATTCTACCAACATTCAGCAAATCCTCTGTCTACTCTCAAAATGCCTGGTACCAGCTAATAGTTAACGTTTTCTGAGAGCATTACTTAGAGTTTACATATGTTCACTTATTTAACCCACAAATCAACCTTTAAAGGTAGGTTCTGATGTAGTGGGTTGATGCAAAAGTCATTGCAGTTTTGCCATTTTAATGCAATTACTTTTACACCAATCTAATATATCCCCATTTTATAAATGGGGAACATGAGGCACAGAGTGGTTATGTCTTACCCACAGTCATTTGCAAGGGAGTGATAGAGCCTAGATACAAATCATGTCAGTCTGCCTCTGAGCCTACATGTATAGCCACTATACTAAACTGCCGTCTGCCTTACAAAGCAGAACAAGACCAGGTTCTCACTTTCAAGGAGTCTACAGTCTAGTATAGGAGCCAGCAAACTTTCTCTGTAAAGGTCTGGAGACTACATGTTAGGTTTTGCAGCAGTGTGGTCTCCATTGTAACTACTCAGCTTTTCCATTGTAGTATAAAAACAGTCGTAGACAAGTCATAAACAAGTGTGGCTGTGTTCCAGTAAAACTTGATTTACAAAAATAGTCAGCTGACCAGATTTGTCTCATGAAGCATAGTTTGTGGACCTGAGGTCTAGTGAGTTAGAATACTGCTTACCAAATTTTAATGTTTGTGTGATTCACGTAGGATCAGTTTAAAATGCAAATTTTGATTCAATACGTCCGGAGTAAGGCCTAGTAAAAGTGTAAGTGCTATGCTCTAAAAATGTCGAGAGCATGATTATCACCCTCCTCTGCTGTTTGAGGGGTAGGGAGCATTTGGAGATGCCTTGTTGCAGGAACCCATTCAGCCAAGCTGTCCTGGCAAACCATACCTCCCACAGCTCCCTCCACACCGGCTGTTTGTCCAATCTAACTTTGCACCGGAGCAAGATGTGTTTTCCCAAGATGAGGAGAGGAAGGTTAGCCCACGCTGCTGGATGTGGAAGGGAATGGGAACCAGGGAAAGAATGGTAACTGGGGAGGAAGGGAAACCATGATACTTTTGTAGTTGAAGGCCTAACTGGGCGCGCTTTGCCATAACTTGGCCCCTCTGCCTCCTTTCCACTGGAAGTGCCAGAAATCGCAGGGCAGCAGTCGCTCACCTGCCTTTGTAGACAAGAAAATGAAACCATCAAAGGGTGAATTTCAGCTAGCCTATTGCCATCACTCTTTTATGGTATAAAGGATGAGAGAGGCGGTGAGGGAGACATTGCCCCAAACATGATGTCCACATCCTAAGACTTGCCTGATATTTCATGTTACACAAAGACAACATTGACTGGTTTAAGAGAAAAAAAAAAAAAAAAGGAAATCCAGAAGAATGTTTTAATTATCAAGCATGAAACAAGTGAAAATCATCAGAATCTTTTTCCTTCTGTGACTTGGTGGCAACAGTCTGTAAAGCCAAGGCCACCGTGAAGTGGTAGGGGAAATTTGGGCACCCACAGTCACCTTGGCAGACACACGATGCTATTTTCAGACTTGTGGAGCCTTTGCACTGCCTCCCTGTCATCCTCACCTGTCTCTGGTCTGAAAGTCCATTTTAACTCTGCTTTCTTGGAGGCAGAAACAAGCATGTGACAGGCTGCAGAGAATTACTCCTGGCTCTGATGTCTCTTCACCAGCTTGACAAAACCTGGTTTCTCCACCTGTCTTTACTCTCTAAGCCTTACCTGCAAGCGCGTCCATGAAAGCCACCACCGCACCATCTCTGGGATGCAGAAGGTTAGGAGGGAAGAATTAAAAAAACAAAACGAAGGTAACAGTATCAAGATCCAAACTTAGAAAACATTTCTTGAAGTGACATTATCTGTTCCTTTTAACCCCATCCCTTTGTCACCAGTGTTTGTTTAGGAAGTATAAGCTAATTTTAATATTAAAATGTTGTAGTGATTAAGAAGGTAAGTTTGTGAATAATGTATGAGTCATCCACACTTTTGTCTTTTTTCCCACCTTATGTTCCATGCTGCACCCTGTTACAAGCAGAGTTGACTGTGATTACTTCCAGAAACTTTGATTAACCCATGAGAGTAAAGACCTAGCTCGATAAACACAGAAGTCCCTGATTGCAGACAAAAGGACTCAGATATCAACAAAAGCAATGATTTGTTTATACTGTGTTCAACTGGATGTGGTGACTTGTGAGCATAGGTAATCAGCCCTTTTGCCCGCACCCCTGGGTGAAGAATCATTCTACTCCTGAAACTATCAAAAAGATTAACCATGAATGTTGATATGAAATACCTGCTTTTCATGCCTTGACACTAAGGAGAATAGACCTTATTAAGGAAGGAAAAACACTTTTGGAGTTTACCTCCTTTACACATGCAGCTTGCATAGAATCCAAATTCAGTGAGCTGACGGCAGGCCAGTTCCTTGCCACTTTATAAAGTTGACCCTCTGTTATCTATAAATGCAAGTGGCTTATTCAAGAATAGCAAGGGCAGCTTTCATTAAGGACTTGTGCATCTCTAGGAGAATCATATGGGCTTGGTTGGCAATAGAACATTTTCTTGGGGACAGAATGTATTATAGATGATTTAGGCAGGAGGTTAGATGAGAAAGTTCCACAAAAATCTAGGGATTTTTTATTCTGCCCAAACCACCATGTTCCTTCCTGCTTTCATTTTTTTTGTTCATGCCCTTCCTTCCACGTGGTAGATTACCTGCTCTCCTCCGGCTGGGCAGGTAGGCTACCTCTGCCCATAAGGACCAATTCAAGTTCCCTTTTCAAGAAGCACTGTCTTATTGCACCAGCCAAAACTCTCCCCACTTTCTTTTTAGTTATTTACACTGCCTCTCTAGTAAATGTGCATGTATATGAAGTCCTCAGTAAGAGATTATAATTCTTGAAGGGCAACAAACATAACTTTTATCTTTTTTAGTCCTATTATGTCCTTATGCCCCCCAACTATATGTATATACCTAGTGCATGATAGGTACAAAATAAATATTAAAGTTTACTTAATTAAAGATTGTTTATTTAAGAGGCAAAATTTGTGAATAAGTCTGGATCTTGATACTGTTCCTTTCATTTCGTTTATTCCTTTCTCCCGACCTTCCACATCCCAAAGATAGTGTGCTGGTGACTTTTATGGAAATGCTTGCAGGTAAGGCTTGAAGGGTGAAGATACGTGGAGAAACCACTGTAAACCTCTTTGAGATTAACCACTTATTTCAGTGGAGGGCACTGGCTAATTTGTACCAGACCTGCCCCAGACAGTTTTGTACATCTTGCATGTGGGTGGGGACCCAAAAAGTTTCCTTTTCAGTGAATCTATTTGGATGAGACAAAGAAATCTGTTGCTCAAATGTTTTCATCAGAGGCTACCCCCTGTTCAGGTGTGTACCCTGCATCCATGTGGGTTTGTGGATGGCATATGACATTTGCAGCGCCAGAGCTCATCGCCACAGATCAAAGGGAAGTAAGCATGCATATGTGGATGCAGCAGGAATAGCTGCGGTCTTTCTGCTGAAGAGCAGGGTTATATACCTCCTATTCGAAATCTGGAGAGGACTGAGGCAAGAGCTTGTGTTGAAACACAAGCAAGCTCCACGTATGGTTTTGGACATGGAAGAAAGAGTACTCTTGGGGTGGAATGACTTAAGTTTTTAATAGGATTAGGATTTCTGTGGATTTTTCCCAAGTGATAGAAATTTTCTTCATCTAGCAGGCAGCCTCACCCAATTACATCTCTATGTTCATTTCTGAAACTCCTTTGTTAAAAACAAAACTAAATAGCAACAGAGAAGAAACTTTCTCAAAAAACTCTTATATCTGTCATTTCTCCTGTTCTCACAGAACTTCAAAATTGCTTTTTCTTTATTCCTTTTTTTTTTTTTCTATATCAGCTCATCAGTCTTTGTAGGTGACTTGGCTACCCCACTAATCTAATTGTCTTTTTGATAGTTTAATCAATATGGACACCAACTTAAGGCCATATGTGAGCCTTAAATGCATCATATTCCCTGTACTTGATTCCACAATTGATATTGTGTGAGGGAAGTTGGCCAAATATTCTCTTCTGTGAAGTCAGAATAACCACCGACCCTAAGAATCAACATTTTGACCAATTCTTTATATGTTGCAAACTATTCACACAACTAGAAAGTTTAGCCATTCACATCTCTTCCCCTGGTTTTAAGTCCCAGCTTCTGAGACTCAGAAAGTTTAGTCCCTTGAACTTTCTGTGGAAAATCTGTTGTAAAAACAGTTCAGACATTGGAAAATATAAAATAGCCCCCAGAGATCCTGATAAAGCTTCCTCTCCCCAAATCCCTCTACAGGTTTATCCATGAGAAAGTTTCTGAAAACTGATGAGAAAATACTGAGTAATTAATGCTGAAATGGGAAAGATGGTAAGTAAAAGCAAAAACCTGTTGATGGCATCTGTTCATATAGTTCCATGTGCCTTTTTACTCACCTGCACTGATAGGCAATGTAATGAAGTTTCCTTTTCAAACATGAAATGTAATTAAACAAAGCTTATCTTAAATTGGCTGGACCCACACAACTTGATTGAGACGTAAACAGCTGTCTTCATTTTGAAGCACCTACACTAGTCAAGCTTCTTTCTAACCTGCCCTTAGCGTTTGCCTGTTGGTCTGTCTTCCCTACTGGACTGTTAATCCCTTGGAGGCAGATTGTCTTGTTTCCCAGAGTTTTTCCAGCATATACCATGGCAGACAATTTTCTCCTTATCTACTCTATCTCGTAAGCCTCATCTAGTGCCTCCATCCTCGGGTGCATAGCCTAGTGACAGGCATGTAACAGATTTTGCCTGCAAGTGGTTGCTGAGCCATAAATGAAGTTGGCAACCTTCTTGTGGCAGTGAGTAACATATTTCTTTCCTCCCGATAGGCTTGGAATCCTCATCCCCATCTGGCAATTTTCTATCTTTTCTACACTCACAGTGGAGCCCACACCCCTCACAACCCCCTTGACTAAACCAGATGACAGCAAGAATGCCTAGTTCCAAGTGAGCAAGGGTGAAGCCTTAGGCTCTTGTCTCCTCCAGACCTCCTCTCTGCTGTGAAAATATACTGGGGGTGGGGGGTGGGGGAGTACTTAACCTCAAACTGAGAAAAAGGATGTCCTGAGCAAGTTTCATAGCATAGCAGCTCCCATCTGAAATGTGAAGCTTTGAAGGCCTGTTGCTACAGTAACCAGCTAGCTCCTGACTCCAATGCCTGTCTAATCTAAGGTGGAAATGTCCCAGAAACAGACCCCAGGCTGGCAGCTCTTAACTATGACCCATCTCATAAGCACATATCCAGCTGTAGCCTCTTGGTTGCCAGGGTGAAGGGGCCTCCGTATCGCCACAGGAAAAAAATCTGATGAATTCTGGGCTCAGAAAGGGTGTTGTTTTTTTTCCACTAACAGACTCTGCAACCCAGTCCCTGGTGAAAGGGCTCCACACCCACCCGTTTTGTGTGTATAATGCTGAGCTAAAGTGGGAAGGAGCAGTAACACCAAAGGAGGCTAATTCTCTTCCTGTCAGTAGGAGAGAGTCTGTGCCCCCAGTACGTGAAAAGGGAAGGCATGAAAAGGGAAAAATCAGCCTTCTGGAAGCACCTTCTTACCACAAGAAAAAGGTGATTCAGAGTATCTTTGAGACTCAGCCAGATTGTGTCTAACTCTTCAGGCAATAGGAAGGCAGAGATGGAGCCATTTCAGAGAAGAGATTTTTTTTTTTTAATCATTTTGTTCTTTGGAATTGTCACAGGATTATGATGTGGGTTCTCATAAAAATTTCCCTCACCCGAAACCCACCCAAAAGAAAGGCAGTGAAATGGGGAGGAACACACATTTGCCTGGCCTCAGAAGAACTGCCTTGTAGTCATGGGTTCTGGTGATCTCGGACCAATCTCTTCACTTCCCTGGACCTCAGTTTCTTCCATACAAAGAAGTTGAACTGGATCATAGAAAAGTCGCTGTCCAGCTTGGTAATATCAGATAGGGAGCGGAAGCTGTCTCTTAGTGCATGGCCAGATTCCGGAACAACGATGATGGTCTCCATGTTTCTCCTAAAAATGAATCTCATCTCAGTAGAGATTTCTTCCACCTCATTTGGGTCTCAATTTAAGGAAGGAAGAAAGGAAAGAAACCTTGGGATTATCTTCTTGAAAGGAATATACTTGACTTTCTCTAGGCTTCTAGGATAAAAACTTCCTATCCTTCATTTTTCCTCTTTAAACCTGCCAAAATCAAGTTGACTAAAGATACTATAGAGATATGTAAAAGAAGCTGCATCCTTAAATTTTCATGGAGTCCAAGAGCCTGCTCACCACCAGTTAGCCTTTCCCAGGATGGTGGTGGCACTGATCATCCAAGTCACACTCTTATGTTCATGTCCCACAGCGTTTCCCATCAGCCATCTCATTTCATCTTTTCATCATTGCTCTGAGGAACAGACTTCACACATGTATAGGACTTTTTATATCACAAAGTATTTCATTTCCAATGTCTTATTTAGATCTTGACAATCACTGTTTAAGGTAATTTGGCAAGTTATTAATACTCATGTCCTCATTTTGCTGAAGAGGAAACTGAAATGCAGAGAATTTGTCTTCTGCCCAAGATCACTCGCCCAGTTTATTGGGAGGCAGCAGCACAGGGATTAAGAACATGGGCTATGCTGACAACCAACCAGGTAGAATCCCAGCTCTGCCAGTAGTTAGCTCTGTGTCCTTAGGAAAGTTATTTCACACTTCTGTGGCTTAGTTTTTCTTGTCCATTAAATGCTCATAAGAGTAGTGCTTTCCTCACAGAGATTGGGTGGGCAAGGGAGCTAAATGAGCTAATATATTTAAGAACAACCTCTAGCACACAGTGCATGATAAATGTCATTATTATTAGCAAAGCCAGGACCTGGGTCTTCCAACTTCTAGCTCAGTGGCATTTCTGCTGCCCTACACCAGGACTATCCTTTGTATACAGGTGTGAACCTAAAGCCTTCAGTGCTTCAATGAAAAGTTCACCCAAGGTCTTTCTGTTCAGTAAGTCTAGAGCTAAGGGCTCCTGGCACTCTGTTCAGTCCTTTTGCTGTTAAACCACGCTGCCCTCCGTTGCTTTCGGCAGAATGTCAAACCTTACGTTTTTAAAATTTATAAACCAAGCACTCTTATTTAATATCACTGACGGCCTGAAGGCAGACGCTCCCACTCTTCTGGGGAAGGGGGTCTTCTAATCTGCCATCTTAAGGAGAGAAAATGGCTTGATTGGGTAACTCACTGCAGTGGGCACATATTTATTACTGTCTCCCAGCCTTTTCTCATGCTGTTTGTCCACTGGAATTACCACTAGTGCCAGGCCATTTGAATATTTGACCATTTGTCTTAGAGTTCTCTGAGTACAAATCTTGTTTTCCATACCTTTATTAGGTACTTTTTAAGAATGAAGACTATGTTGTATGTTGGTTTGTACTCTCTCCTGCACATCAAAAATGCTTCGTAAATAGATATACAAATGTTTCTTGATTCATAAATTGATTGACTGTTTGATGCACTAATGGTCACCTCTAAGTGGTTAACAGTTGTCTCTTCCCATCTCTTAGTTACAAGTTTCAGATGATCAAAGAATGCCTAGGTGGCATTCAACAGTACAGTGCCTCAGTAAAGGTAGAAGTTTTAGGAGCTGTACGTGCAAGAGTGAAAGAAGTTCTCTCTGCACCCAGAGGAGGTCGTTTGCTACAAAGCCTCAGAACCTGGCTTCTGCCTTGTCAACCTGCATGCTGTGTGCATGGAAAAACAGGCCTGAGCCAGGGCTTACCCTGTCACCCAAAGTCCACTCCATGTAGTGTGCCTGAACCAAACATGACCTTGTTCTACAGTTAAAAACAAGTGAAAGTCATCTGCTGGGGTCACTTGGTAATAAAGTCCTGCGACAGAAGGGGCTCTGCTTAAAGGGCAGCTCAAATCCAGGCATTAAAATAACCTAAATGGTGTCGTTTTCTGATCAAATTCCTTTCCCTGTCGGGTTTGTGATTTTTGAGCCTGAGAATGTCCCTCGCAGCTCAGGTTTCTCTGCTGTCACACTGATCTCAGGCCTGGAATGCAAGCACTGGCCATTGAGGTCTGATGTAACTATGTCACAATCCCAAAATGGAGAGACATTATCTCATAGATGGTGCAGCAGTCGGGCACCAGTGTGTGGCTGGCAGGCACAGCTCAGAATGCAGCCCTGGGCATATTCCACATCCACAGTTCTCAGTGGACACAGGGTCTGATGCCCCAGGCTCCAAGCCGTGCTCCAGTAAGTTAGGGTCTTGCACATCTTCATGCTCAGGAGTAGGGACAGGAAGACAGAGGCTGGGATGGAGATGGGCTTACTTCTGGTCCAGTCCAGTTGGTTTTCAGAAAGGTGATTCCTGGTCACAGGGCCCTTGAGCACCTGGAGGGCTTAGGCAGAGTGCAGACAGCAGCCATTCACATGAGAAGGCTCCACCCTGGAGGCAGTGCTGGAAGCCATCCTTCCTTAACTGGGCCTCTGGGGCAGGTGGGGCCTAGTGGCCTGTGAGGTAAACAGCCCTTTCAGCGCTTAGAGAATGAGACCTCAAGGGGAAACCATTAACCCTTTCCTAGAGTAATAGCATCAAAGTCCTAACCAAGTTGATCATGAAATCTCATTTGAATTCAGAGGAGCACCTTCTTATCCAGCCTTGAGGAATCAGGCCACTTCCTTCCTTCTTGATTAGCCTCTTCACACCCCTTATTTCCCATGGCTTTTCTGTGAGATGCTTTTGTTCCAACCAAGCCATTGCCAATTAGGCCATGCCCACCCCTGCCGACTCCCTCTGCTCGCTCTTTCCTTGCCTAAACAGTCTGCCTCTCTCATTTTGCCTGGTCCTTTGCTCAAGGTCCACATTAAACTCCCCCTGCTCGCCCAGGCATCTCTGAGTGCCTGAGTCCCCATTTCTGGAGCTCCTTCAGAACCAGTATCTGCGCCATGCATTGGATTCTTGGCACACACCTCCTTCCACCATCAGTACCTTCTCTTGTGTAGATGAGTGCGTGTCCCTTAGGAGTGTCCTCTAGCACAGACTGTGTTTTATCTTTGGGTACTCCCAGAGCCTAGCAATGAGCCTTGCACACAACACTGACTCTTGAGAATGCTCTTAAACTCTGAAGGCATCTTAGAATCAAAACCTAAGACCACATCCAGGAATACAGCCTCGTTCCCCCGTCTCCCAGTGTCCTTACACACCAAGCACATGCCTGAATGTGAAGCCTCTCATTTGCTCTTTCCTCTACCTGGCATGGTTCACTCCCCTACTCCAGTGTCTCTACACAAATGCCACCTTCTCAGGCTTTCCTGACCACCCTGTCTAAAAAATAGCATTCCTTATCCTGTAATGCCTATCCTGCTGATTTTTCTTCATAGCACTTACTATTGATTTATTTTCTGTTGTTATACTATATTACATTACGCTACATTTAATTGTTTTAATTGACAAAACTGTATAGATTTATTGGGTACAACATGACATTTTGATATATGTATACATTATGGAATGGCTAAATCAAGTTATTTAACATATGTTTTATCTCATCATTTTTTGTGGTGAGAACACTTAAAATCTCTCTGAGCAATTTTCAAATATACAATATATTGTTAACTGTAATCACCATGTTGTACAATAGGTCTCTTGAACTTATTCCTCCTGTCGAACTGAAATTTTGTGTCCTTTGACCAGCATCTCCCCAATCCTCCAACCCTTCAGCCTGTCAGCCACCGTTTTACTCGGTGGTTCTGTGAATCCAGCTCTTTAGAGTTCACATTTAAGTGAGACCATGCAGTGTTTGTCTTTCTGTGCCTGGCTTACATCACTTCAGGTTACACTATATATGTTTAAATCTTTCATTGTGTGTGGTTCCCATAAGAATGCAAGCCCCATGAGGGCCAACACCTTGCTTTATTCACAGCTCACCCTACAGCTCTGCCTTCAGCAATGTGAGGAATATCGTAGGTGCTCACTATTTGTTGAATGAGTGGATAGGTGAATGAATGAGCAAATGAATATTTTTCTGTAAATCAAGGACCACTCTGTGTGATAATGTGACATGCAGCCCACCACAGGATGATATAAGGCTTGTTTTCACAGAACCGAAGAGTATTTGAACTATAAAGGTCCTTGAAAGTAGGTCACCTTCCCAATTGTACAGAGTAGGAAACTGAGTCCCAGAGAGGGACTCAGATGGAAATGAACACTTGGAAAGTTAATATCTTTGATTTCTAATACTTCTTCCTAGAGCATAGTCCGATGTAACAGTTCATCTGGCGAGATTCTGAGTTACCAATTTTCTGTAGGTTTTGCATTAGAATAATTTTATAAAAGCAAACGAGAACAAGGCCAATAGCATAAAATTTCACTCCTTCACACTCCCAAGTGTTTTTCGAGGCATTACAGAAAAGGAAGCATCTATGCTAGTTGGTCCAGCATCCCTTTAGAAGCTTAGAGCTGCAGAAATACTGTTGGAACATTGTTTCTTTATTCTTCCCATCCTTACTGTGTTGGGCCGAACCCTGAGGACTGTCTGCCTTGGAACAGAGAAGAAATCCAAGCATATGTGCAAAGCTGAGCTGCCCTTTCAGCCCCAGGTCTTCAATGGGCCTTCTCCCCAGGCACCTGCGAAATGCCAGCAGGGTCATTGCTGGTGGAGGGGTCCCACTCAGTGCACCCCTAGGAATGGCTCAGCCGCACTGTGGGTGTAAACATTAATCACACAACAGTCATTCTACATATTCCTTTTTTATTCTCCAGAGAGTGCCAGGAAAAGTCCTGCCCAGTCAAAAGTCATCTTGTAGCTGGGCATTGAGAGTGATTGCCCCTCTCTCTCCTTGTAAGATTATGTTTGACAGCAATGAAAACCAACAGTTTAACAGCAGTAATCTCTTGGCAGGACAGATTGATATGAGCCTTGTCCCAAAACAAAGTAATCCTTTCAGGGAAGTGTATTTCAAGTTGAGCTCACGTTCCCAAGATGCTGAGATTCTTATGTGGCTGACACAGGAGCCGAGGCTGAGCCCCAGCCAGGGACATCCAACGATTGCCAGTAACACCACGGAGCTGAGTGAAGATTCAGGGGCTGAGTGTGTTCCTGAGTGCTTCAAACTGGGGGACCTGGAAACACCAGGGGACTCCTGGGGAAAGGCTGTCAACTCCAGCCTGCTCTTCCTAAATGGCCTTTTTAGTGACTTCAACCCTAGCAGTGAGGCATGTGGGTCAGAATAACATTCCCTTTCTTTTCCCTTCACCTCTCTTTTCTCCACGGTTCCTTTCCATAACTTCTTTATTTGCTGCCTAGAGGAGCTTTCTGGACATTTTGTCTCCAGGAATCATGATATGTCACCTGTGCCTGACAACTTATGACCTCACATGCCTGGTCTTCTACGCCAAGGTAGCTGTAAAGACTTGCTTTCTAGGCTGGGTTTCCCTGCACAGGCCCACTGAACCACTCAAACCTCAGAGGTGGAAGTGCCCAGCGGTCCTCGTGGTCAGTTGGGGATAACGGAGTCATTTCTGCAGCCCAACTTCTGAAATTCCACAAGAGGGCGCCCAAGGGCTCCCAGGTCTGGCCACACCCGTGGCCTTGAGGCCGGAAGGTGGCGCTGTTGCTTTAGCCATCAAGAAAGGCAAAGCTGTGAACACCGGGATGGGGATGTCCCTGGGTGCGGAGGGTGATACCTAGAGGCGATGCTGTGCCTGTGGCGGCCACGCGGTGCCACCCACTCCGGGGAGCAAAGCCAAGCGCCGGACGCGGGGTATGGGAGAGAAGAGCCACCTGACTCAAGGGAGGGCTCTGGGTGAGGAGCCAGCCTCCTCCGGCTCCGATTCCCGCTGCTCTGCTGCTTTGCCCGGAGGCCTTGAAGGAAGTCATTCACTCTTCCTCCCCCCCAGCTTCCTAGGCCTTCCGTGTGCTCAGCGGAAATTCACACACTCTGGTGGCAGGTGAGCTTTGGATTCAGGAATGAAAAGACAAAGCCCTGTCCTGGTGAATGGAAAGGGGAGGCAGGCGCATCATCAGAAAGTCACCGTGCGAGGAGAGACGTGGCGGCACAGAGGTGCACACAGCAGCCCCCAGAAGAAGGACTTCCCCCCGCCTGGGGAAGCCGGGCTGGCAGGGCTGGGCCAGCGAAGCCTTCCTGGTGGTTCTAGGCAGTTTTAGGTGTTAGGCGTCGCCTTGGGAAAGATGAGGAAAGGGCAGTGTAGGCCAGGCGACGGCCGGAGCAGAGGCAGCGCGGCAGTGCTGGCATGTGGGTGGGTGGTGGTAAGGAAGGCAGTGGATGAGGATGCAGGGAGCAGATGGGCTGGGTTGCAGGCTGGGCCTCCATGGCCCTCTATGGGTTTTGTGATCAACATGCTTTGTGGAGTTACAACAAGCAATGGTGGCCCTAACACCTACATTCATTTATAGGTCCATAAATCTGCATTCATAGAGATGAATGAGTAATCCCCA